CTCTGAGATTGTACATGGGGATGATGCAGGAAGTTTTTGATAAAGATAGGTTCAAGGCAGATGACAAAATGGGTCATGCCTCTCTCAGCCTTCAACCGCTAATCTCAGTTGCTAGACTAAGGCATGTAGTGCGTGTGTCTTCTGGCGAGACAACGCTTAGGAAAGTGTTACCGGATCCAGATAACTGCGTATCTCGTGAAAGCACCATCAGTTGCATAGACGGAGAGGTGGTGCAGAGCGTGTGGCTGAGGCTTTGCGCTGTTGAATCGGGTGAGATTGAGTTGAAGATCAAGTTGATTGAACAAAGGAGTAGCATTTAGAACTTTATGAATGCAGGTGTGTGGTGTCTGTCTAGTAGCTAAATTGCAACAATGTATGAAATGATGTGAAAAGGCTAGGCTTTAAAAAGCTTTTTGCTTTATGATATTTGTGTTTAGGAATCTGTGAGATACATTGTACTGCTCTCTCTCTTAGGTATTATATCCTCTGTTTTCTTCCTTGTGTGTACATTTTTGAGTGTTTGATTGGAAACTTAACATGAATGGATGATTCTCACATCTATAGAGCTTCCTAATAAAAACATGGAAGAAATGGATAAAAATCAATCAACAATCACGCATACCTAGGTTACGGTGTTGATACCGACAATGATATTGGTAACTTACGTGTCACATTTGGTCTTTATCTCTTTTGCAACTTTTTTTCTTTTTTTCTTTTTGATTCAATTATTATGATCTCTTCTTCTCACTTTGCCTCGTAATAGCCTGATCTGCGACTAAATACCGATAGGTGATTGCGTTTTTTCAACCCAGAACCCAAAGTTATCATCTTTTTGATTCTCATATCTGTTTTTGTCTGAATTCTCGGGCTTGGCATAATCTCTTCGGTGACTTCTATGGCTCCTTCTGTCTCTGATGATTCCGTACAACCTCAAGGTTTTTTTTTTCTGAATTCTCAGGCGCCTATTGTTCTGTTTCTGTTTGGATCATGACATGGTTTGAATACTTTTATTACAATTGAACTCTGGTGGGTGCAGATGTTTGTGTTGTGGGAGTGGCGCGAACGCCTATAGGAGATTTTCTTGGCTCTCTCTCTTCTTTGACTGCTACAAGACTTGGGTCCATAGCCATTGAAGGTAAGCTAGCTATAATA